CTCATTAGCATAACTTATTTGCATATGCCACACCCCCTGACATCACTGGAAGTGTGTCAGAAGGCAACGCCCACCGCTCAGGCTCCACTGGACTGTTTTGGATTGCTGGCTATGGGGGGGAACGTGCAGATCTGCCCTCACAGAGGAGGGAGAGCTTGTACCTGAATAAAACTTGGTCTTAAAGGTGCCACTGGACTGTTTTGGATTGCTGGCTATGGGGGGGAACGTGCAGAACTGCCCTCACAGAGGAGGGAGAGCTTGTACCTGAAGGCGGGCTGGGGGGGCTCTGTAACCTGGCTTCTTCTTGCTCCTCATGGCCCAACTAAGGGCTGCTGGGAGCAGGGGGTGGGGCTTGTTGCATGTGCCTGCCCCCTGGGCTCCTTACTGCCAGAGCGCCGCTCCTGTGCGCTCCTGCAGGAAATGACCCCTGCCTACGATCCAGGGCAACAGCTTAAGTCAGCCTGCCGCCCTTCTTACAGCTAACTCACTATTGCGCCCATTTTACAGATGGGGAAAGTTGAGGCAGGAAACCTGTCTCTGAGTGCCAGGGGAGACAGCCTGTAGTTGCCTCCCTCAAGATGTTAAGCCAGGTCCCCCATGCCTTCTTTTCTAAACCCCCATATGAAAGATCACACACGTGGCATTTATAACAATAACCACACTTTTCATAGGAAAACACGGATTTGTATCTCACATTAAACTGCAATAATGAAGATATATTCCCAGGGAGAGGGGACATCTACATTCCAGCCTCGGCGGGGTAGAAGCGGGGTTGGCCACTCTGAGTTGGGAAATTCCTGAGGATTTGGGGGCAGTGCTTGTGGGAGGGGAAATCTGGGATTTCACCTAGAATCTATGGTATACCATAGAGTTTGCCCTTCGAAGCTGATCTCTGTTGTCTGGAGGTCAGTCGTAATCAACGCTCCCTCTACGCTGTGGAATCTTGTGAGCAAAAATTCTACTTTGTATGCGGCTGGCGTTAAAGTGGCGAGCGAGCGATTGGGTTACTGCATAGATGAGTTTGCTCTGGAGCCCTCCTTCCCGAGCTGAGACAAAAAGGTGTGAGCCGGAGGCTAAAAAAAACTGTGAGGTAGCTCACACTAACTCAGCTTAGAGGGAAGTCTGGTTGTAATTCCAGGAGATCTCCAGGCCCCACCTGGAGGTGGCAACCCTACGATAAGTACTGTCAGCCTCAACCAAGGCTTACCTTGACGGTGAGCACAACGGGGGGGTTAAAAGCTGCCAAGGGTAAGTAAGCCGGGCCAAGAGATCCTGCATTTTAAAATCCAGTTTATTGGGCCACGGCTATCGGGATGGGCCAGCTGCCCTTCTTGTGTCCTCCAGGGGCCCTCCCCCCACACCCCAGGACCCCCGCCTCTCTTACCAGCTCCAGGGTTGGCTCTGGATCACTCTGGTTCAAGGCAAAGATTCCCTCTTCGGCGCTCAGGATCAGATGCGGCTCTACGGAGCGTGGGGCGGGGACAGGAAGGAGGAAAACGGCACACTCGGTTGAGGAGAGTCGATCCGCACTCGTACTGAGACACCCCCCACCCCCGTATCCTAGACTCAAATACCTACTTTGGTCTTCCCAGTGCAAAGATTCGGAAGGATCCAAATCTGGAACCCAGATCACACTGTGCAGGGCCTGGGCCACCCAGGACAGGGAGGAGGAGGAGAGGAGAAGGGAAGGAGAAGAGGAGGAGGTGTATCTCACATTAAACTGCAATAATGAAGGTATATTCCAAGGGAGAGGGGACATCTACATTCCAGCCTAGGCGGGGTAGAAGCGGGGTTGCCCACTCTGAGTTGGGAAATTCCTGAGGATTTGGGGGCAGTGCTTGTGGGAGGGGAAATCTGGGATTTCACCTAGAATCTATGGTATACCATAGAGTTTGCCCTTCGAAGCTGATCTCTGTTGTCTGGAGGTCAGTCGTAATCAACGCTCCCTCTACGCTGTGGAATCTTGTGAGCAAAAATTCTACTTTGTATGCGGCTGGCGTTAAAGTGGCGAGCGAGCGATTGGGTTACTGCATAGATGAGTTTGCTCTGGAGCCCTCCTTCCCGAGCTGAGACAAAAAGGTGTGAGCCGGAGGCTAAAAAAAACTGTGAGGTAGCTCACACTAACTCAGCTTAGAGGGAAGTCTGGTTGTAATTCCAGGAGATCTCCAGGCCCCACCTGGAGGTGGCAACCCTACGATAAGTACTGTCAGCCTCAACCAAGGCTTACCTTGACAATGAGCACAACGGGGGGGTTAAAAGCTGCCAAGGGTAAGTAAGCCGGGCCAAGAGATCCTGCATTTTAAAATCCAGTTTATTGGGCCACGGCTATCGGGATGGGCCAGCTGCCCTTCTTGTGTCCTCCAGGGGCCC